GAAAACATTACAGCAGGTGGAGGGGGCACTAATATAAAACTGACATATATGAGGTGAATTATAACAAAGAACAGACAGGATCAATTCTGGTCTACATGGACCACATGGTCTGCATATAAAACCAAATGCCAAATAAAGTGTCTCTGGGCAAAACAAGCAACACACAGTTGCATATCAAATTCAAATCACTCAGTACTGGTCCCAAAAATAAAAAAAACTAGGAAGAATCAATCAATAAAAACCTGCAAAGTAATCAATGATATCTGAAAATGGGAATGAGAAGTGTTTTCCAACCTAATTTGAACCAGACAGAAATATCCTACAGCACACCAAACAAAATATCACAAAAAATGACATCTCAATGAAATATAAATATCTTATAGTTTCAATTTGCTCACAAACTGAACAATCCGACCGGTCTATCCTAAATGTTCAGTCCTGATGTTCACATCTTGTCTTCCACTGGAGTAAATATTGACATGACTAATTTGACAAATTTTCTTCCTGCCCATCCAGGATGATGCTGATGTCGAATGGAAGTTTGCCAGAGCTAAGCTATGGTTTTCGTACTTTGAGCACAGTGGAGCGCTGCCTGTGCCCTTCAACCTTGTACCAAGCCCAACGTCAGTCGTCTCACTCCTGTGGGGGATAAGGGAATTTCTCTGGGCTGTGCCTCCAGGTAAAAACAAAGCAAACTCAAACGATGAGATGGAACTCAACAAGGTGAGGCTACAGGAATGGTATTTAAAGGAAAGCAACACATTCGCTAAAAATATACACAGCTTTGGTTATTATTTCAAAATAAAATGATCTGTTGTTCTGTTTCTTTGTACAAATCTCAGTTGAGGCAACAAGAAGATACTAAAGTGGAAGGATCACTCTGTTCAACACACCACCAGGTAATGTGTCATTTCTTAATATACAAATCTCTGCCTTGGTTTCTCAACCTCAACCAAACAAAAATGTCACAAAGCATAAATGTTGTGAAAAACAGTGAGCAGTTTAATTTATTTAAGTGAAACCTGATCCTGTTTAATTTAACGCAACACTGATATACTCAGAGGAAAAAAAAACAAAACTAAACTGATGTTTAAAACACTGTTATTGTATATATACTGTCATTTTAAGAAATAATCCATGTAAATGTGCACATCCTTGTTTTTTAATTACAGAAGATAATGAATCGCCTCATCAAAAGATACATCTTAAAAACACAGAGAGATAAAGACAACGATGAAGTCAATGAGGGTGAGTTTGATCATTTAAAAAAAAAAAAAAAGTTCAAAAACAATGATGCCACAACTCTGTTTGTGCTACTGATCAAACACAGGTGAACTAAAAGAAATCAAACAAGACATCTCCAGTCTCCGCTTCGAGTTGCTGGAAAAGCAAAACCACGATATGAGAACAATTACAGAGCTCATCATACAACTGGGGGACGTTGTAGATTTTCAACAGGAAGAGGAACAGAAGCCTGGAGTCTGATTGTGAATATTAGTTAATACATATACTTGAAATATGCATCAAGCTTTGCTTTATCCTCCATTGTCTCAGTGACTCAAAACATACTTCTTTACTGGTGAACAATCTCCAGATAAGACATAGTGGTGGCCACAACAGATCATCTGCCTACATCACCATCTCCACCATCTACTCCTTCATCACATCCAAACCATCTCCACCTCACTTCTCTAACTTTATCTCCAAACAACTCCACCTTAACTGTCCCTCTGATCTGCTCATGTCTAATCCTGCTCATCCCCAGTCTGGAATTAGACTGAACAGGAGAATAACTAAATCCTGGGATATCTCAGAAAACAAGTGTTTGAATAGAATAGAGCCATTTCTACTTTACATTATATACTGTACATAGCAGTTTTCTGCCAGTAAACTTTAGTAATGTAATTTTTCTTAATCATTCAATTTTGGTAGTGCTGGGTGGAAAGGTCCATGTATTTACATGGAAAAGTCGATATGTAAATATATGTTGAAAAACATGTATTTACAAAGAAAGCAAAGCTGTTTCTCCACATTTCACCATTTAAATCAAAGCAGTTTTCCGATCAGAAAATTCCTGTATCTACTCCATGTCTGCTTGTCTGGTCTCAGAATAAAATCTAGATTTTATTTACAAATGTTCTTTCAGACAGTGATGTTTGATTCAATTTTCAAAAGTGTTCAGTGCTGAGAAAACTGATCAAATAAATGGTGACATGATTCATCACAAAATTTGGGAATTTCTGCCATGTTTCACAGAACCTTCGATGCTTACATGTAACCAGATCTTTAAAGTCACCACATAGAAAGACAGCCTCTACAGACTACAGAAGTTAGACATGATGTAAACCCCATTAATATACCACTGACCTCATGTCATGTTAATATGTCCTAATCTTTATGAGGCCATCTTTTATTTCTCAGGTGTTGAGGTGATGATCACCTGGGAGTAATGGGTATTGAAAATAATACTAATAAATTTTGATTTCCATGTAATGAGTTCCAGGAGGTTTATGGGGCTTTTACAACCACTGTGCAGCAGATGCTCCCTCACACTTGCTGTGAAGCAAACACGTCTCAGAGAACAGGCTGACCTGTCAGCAGAGACAGAGTGGATCAAAGCTGCCGAGTGGAGTCTGTGAACAGCGTTTACCACATGTGTCTGCAAAAGCTCTAATTTGATTTCCAGTAACAGACGACAGCATTTCTCAAAACCCTGGAAGCTGCCGGCGCTCTCTGTGGGCCGGCAGCTTCACATTTGCAGATGAAAGACTGCTCCCACAGCCAGGGCACAGCAGCATTTTGAAGAACAAATCATTTGTGATATGAACGGGCAACCATTATCCAAGAATTGTGTTGATCACAGCATGAGATTCTCTGCGGTATCATCAAGCTCATGACGCAAGAGATAGGGCCAAGGCCTTTGTGTGCATCATGACTACATGCATCAGTGGCAGCCTCACTCAGATGATTAATCCAAAACCAGTGTGTTTACAAAGCATGTCTAAGAAAACCATGAAGGCTCGCCCTCTTCACCAGGTCATATGACAGCCAGCAGTACTTGGCTACATGTTTGTAGAAACATATTTGTGACTCATCCTAGACCACAGCCTTTGGATAGATCAGTAACCATAACATACAACAAAAAAAGATTAAAGGCATAAGACAACGCGCATATGAAAGACACATGAATAAAGGCAAAAGGAATATTTATGCATGGTGTATGAAACAGCCTGTGCTCTTTGACCCAATTAATGGTCCGAGGACAATGTGGATGCTGCTATGTTTCAGCGATCCAGACAATGTGCCACAGGCAGTTTGTGGCACATTGAAACTTTTCCCACCTAAAACAAATTTTCATAATTATTCTGACATTACATAAAATAATGAAGTCTTACAGGATCTCCAAACAGGACTCTGAAAGATAAAGCAGCTGTATTTGCAAAATCTCTTATGTCTGTAACAGCTTTGATTCCAATATTTTTTCACCCTGGCCCAGAGACAGCAAGATAATTTAGGTGGAGACTACAGACCCTTGACATTGAAGTAATCTAGATATGTCCTCCCTATTGGTTGAGGACCAGAGACTAATGTTAGGGTTAGGGATTAACAAAGACAATTGTATTATTAACGTCCTGTTCACTTTGGAATGGGTTTACGAAGCAAAAACAACATCTTATTATTTCTTGTTTGTTCGTCTATTTTCCAACTAACTAAAACAAGAGGAGAGCCTTAAATTCATTTTAATTCCATTTCAACGCTTCACTTTAAAATGACTGGTATTTTGTAAAATTTGCGCACTTTTAATCGCCGGTCTTTTACGCATAGCTAACAGCTGTCTTCAGTGATCAGCGATAAAAACTGCACCCCTGTGTGAAAGAGAGGGAGAAAAAAAAGCTCAAAGTCAGAGTCTAACAGGAGTGGGAGGAGGAGGAGGATTTCAGGAAGGTCGCTGAGCCGCACTTTAACTCACACCGTTCAGCCTCGGGGCGGACTCGAACCTCCACCGCTGTGAGCTGCAGGAAACAGGAACATAAAGTCAACCGTAGGATGAGCAACATCACCGACTCCACGGACAACAGAATGTGTGACCTGACTGAAGGAGCTTACAATAGTATGAAGTTTTCGAACGAAGCGAAGAACCTCACTACCATGCTGTCGTCCGTGCGTAATTTTGGAAACTCGGGCACAATGATCCAAAGTCTGTCTTCGAGCGGCGAAGGAGCCGTTTTCAAAGACTACACTGTTCTTGACGGATCACTGGCCACGAAACACTACTACGACCGCAGCAGTGAGCTGCTGAAGTGTGACCCCTCTGTGTTTTGGGAAGACTTTGTCAAAGTCCAGAGGACGGATGTGGCTCAACCAGAGGCTGGCCCTGCTCCAGGGAGCCTGACTTCCACAATCGGAGCTTGCAAGTTCATCAAAGACGAGAAGGAGCCTACTGTCATCATGGACGCCCCGTGTCCAAACTTTGACCAATCCCCGGAGATGTCCACTATGGACAACTGCTGTGACACCTACAGGAGGCAGCAGCAGCAGCCGCAGGAACCACCGGGGCACGGTGAAGGTGCGCTGACGAGTTTCAGACCGGTCACCGCGGCTGCTCGGTCCGCGATGGAGGGATCTCCGAACTTTTTGTTGGACCTGAACCAGAGCGAGCAGCTGCCGGTGCTCAGCCAGGCAAGGAGCGACTCCAGGTGCGGCTCTACTGGGACCATGTACAGGAACGAGGTAACCCCTCGGTGGCAGGCATCTCTACCTGAACCCAACTACTGGGGCCAGTCCACCGGGTTGACTGAGGACACATTCTTACAAAGCAGCTACGATGCCATCCAGAGCCAGGCCCTAGTTCCCAGGAAACCATCCTCACCCTTCCCATCATTCCCCGGGTAAAGATGTTTGGTATTTTAATGCTTAGTGAGTAAATTGTTTTAAAAAAAAAACTTGTTTAAGAATATTGACCTTTCTTCAGTAATCATTTTCTTTATCACTGCTTTGGTACAAACATCTTGCAGTGCTGGACACAGGCTTATGGCAGTTTGGACGTCAAAGAAAACAGCTGATTAAACAAACTTTTTTTGATTCAAATGTATTAACTGTGACTGAACACAACAGGCGCTTTACTCTCAGTCAGCATAGTCTGTACCATGAAATATCATCTGCTGACCTCTCAGGGCAGAAATAAAAAGTAGAAGTTGTAAATTAAAAAAAAACTTAAAAACTAAGGAAATTGGAAAGAAAATATGGTTGCACTAAATTACAAGACACCCAAAGAACATTACATTTAACTGAAAGTATTTGTTTACAGACATGCTGTATACAGAACATATTTTACCCATGTTTCAGTACCAGATATCATTATATGCATTATAAGAATCATCAAGAACAAGAAAAACTGTTTTTTGGTAGTTTTACTTACTTTTGACACAAAATCTTTCAGATGGTTTTTTTGTGCTTATTAAACTCTAATATTCTTCATATTAAACAATATAAACAGATCTATGGTACAAAGTTTGACTTTTGTCTTAGATGACCAAACAATTAGCTCTAATGATTAATAATGATTTTATACATTTGTGA